GAAATCAAGGAGAGATGGTGACACAGTTGTTTATACTGGTTCAAGCCCTCAATGCGAGGTAATACCCTAGTCCAGTTGTTTGTGGATTGAATCTGTGTCGGCTGTGAATGGTAGAATGCATAACCCCTGCGTGTATGCTGGGTTCTGGAGATGATACCCGATCTCGGGACCCCTACCCCCTCTTATATAGGATAAGGGGGAGGGTTACGAGGAAAGTATCCAGTTGACTACAACTAGATCTCCCTATTCTATCTATATAAGATATGCATGATCCCCGAGATTTATATTTTATCCCGAGAATATCTCTTACTTAATTTATAACATATCCTTGTGGGCCTAGGGCTCTTGGCCCACTCCATGTCATACGGCCCAAAGGCCTCTCCTTGGGTACCCGAGTGCCGTGTACACCACACTCTGCTCTGGCCGGCGTTTCCCGTCATGCCGCGCTAGCTCTTCTGTCCCTAACCCCCTATCTCCTTCCATAGGTTGCACCCGCCTCTGTCTGCCGCTCCCTGCTCGCAAGCCATAGCCGGGACCTCGCCTCTGCCGCGACCCGTGTCTATGCTGCCAAAACCCCACTGCCACCCTTGCCGTTCGCGCCACCAGTGAGCTCCCAGCTCCCTCCTACGCCTCCACCGCTTCCTTCTACTGCTTCCCCGCGCCGCCGCTTGTCGCTGGTGCCACCGCCAGTGGCTCATGGCCCGTGCACTGCCTCCTTATATATTTTCTATTAGGTATATATAAACTAATATCATTAATATGTCACAATAATTACTACTCCCTCCGTTTTATCTTATTATAAGTCGTTTTTAACTTTTTTTCAAGTTTGACCAAGTTTATATAAAAATTATTAACATCTACAACACTAAATTAGTTTCATTAAAATTAACATTTAACATTTTTTACAATATGTTTGTTTCGGGTTAAAAAATAATTATTTATTTGGTTAAAAACATTAGTTTAAATAATATATAATAAAAAAAAGGAAAAATCAATTAGAAATGGTAGAAAAAGATATAAATATCTCATATTTCGAGGTGAAGTATCCCTGCATAATTGTGCCAAAGAAGGAAGAGAAATCATCATGATGGGTGTCTCGAGGATATTTCCCCGTCCACTCTGTGTTGACTCCGACTCTTTGTGTGGTGTAGATCATCTAGAGTTGTTGCTAAAAACCACCTAGTATGGTTGCAAAAATTTCTAGCATCTCTTTGTTTCTACTAGCTGTGATTAATTTATCCTAATTAACTCTCTTAACAAATATTGATGTAGTGAGAAAATATTTTTCTTTTCACCAATGAGATAAGCAACACAAATATGTATATCCCCATGAGTTCAGTTTATCCTCATTCTACATATTGAAAGAAATTTTATCTCTCAGAACGCTACTTGAAATTGATCTAATAAAAAAAAGAGAAGAAAACATATATGTTTTCTAGATGAGAAAATTACATTGCCGGTACATGAACTTGTCAGGGGAGTGCAATCCTATGCATGAACTTGTAAAATACTTGTTTTGGTGCATGAACTTGTCTGATGCGTGCGGATGAAGGTGAAAAGAACTCTACATGACTAATCTTATTGATTTAGGGGCTGATTAGGATATATATCCTTCATCATATATATATATATATATATATATATATATATATATATATATATATATATAGAATGGGATATAATGATAGTAGAAAAAAGATAAAGAGAAAGCTGAGAAACGATATAAGGGTTAGCAATATATATGATGAAGGATAAAGTAGAGACCAAATTTATACATATTGTCTTATGCATACTCAGTACACATATGCATGTCGCATCCTAATCAACATCCGCTTCGTAAAGTGTACATTGCCAAGTTAATTTGGTCCTTAATCGCACGAACTAGACAAGTTCGTGTACTGAAATAAGCACTTTACAAGTTTATATATTAAATTGCACCCACCGAACAAGTTTGTGTACTACCAATGCAATTTACCGTTTCTAGATTGTATTGTGCCTGCATTTTATTTTGGGAAAAGAGTGTGTTATTTTTTTAAGTGTTGGCTGGAGAGTAATCGCTATAATGAAAGAGTTCATCCCCTTTAATTTGACACTAATAAAATTAATTAGGTGTGATTGAGGTGTCTTAATTGATCTTATCGGTAGAAACATAAGAATGGCTACGAGTTTGCCAAATCTTTCTATAGGTTGTCAAATGGGCTGGGACTTTCCTTGTCTGACCTAGCACGCATGTGCAGGTCACAGCCCAGGAACAACACGGTTTGTTTGGCTATAGGTTGTGCTGGCACGACCCATCTAGCCAACACGACATGGCCCAGGAATAGCACACAGCTTGGCCCGTTGTTGACAGAAAACACAAGGCCTGGGAGATCTGCTTAACTCCAGTGCAGGTCCAAAGCTCGCCTTCGGATATATGAGCATGCCAGTTGATTTGATCCTGCAATCAACAAGAAATAGAACAAAGGAACCGCAATTAATCCTATAAATGATAGCCGATCGGCTAGGTGCCGATGACATATCATTTATTTCAAGCCGATGTCATGCGTGCATCGATCGGCAAATATCAATAAGCAAATCAGAACTAAATCTACTCGATCGGCTGTAAATATTAATGATATATAATCCTTATATCGATATATACTTAAATCAAGTGATTGGGATAGATCGGTCGCCTTACCGAGACAGTATAAATCACTTAAATCGAAATATATATTAATAGTGGGATTATACGCATTTATAGCATAGCCGATCAAATGGATCTAGCGTGTATTGGCTAATACTCCGATACTACTCTATATTAAGATGTTAAAGCAAGTAAAATATACCAAACAGAAGTCTAATATACTTAGATGCGACAAGATCTTAACATAAAGGGCAAATTTAACATATAGATTAAGCATATGAAATAAAAGTAGTTAAATCAGATAAGATCGGCTAAAACTCCAATACTACCCTAATCGGCAACTAGAAAGCAGGCTAGAGATTGCAATTCTAAGCACGACTTAATAGATCAAACTCAACTGATGTAGCATTAAGTATGAAAAGAAGAACAATATCTGGACAATCAAGCCGCTGGAAGTTTCATAGAGTGGTAGATATATCACAAAATCTAAGTTAACGTCATTGTCTAACCTAATCGGCTGCCTTCCATTAACAGATGTTAGTCGATTACATGTTAGATAAAGATATTATCGAAGATTATGTAAGATATATGATAACTCGACGAATTATATAGATAAGATTAGAGTATCATAAAGATGGAAGCACTAATCCTGAGAACATAAGTCGTCATGACAAGTTTTACCTCTTGTTGAAGATCGGAACCGATGCAGCTCAACCCGAGAGCATGAACTCATCGAAAGTAAAGCAAAAAGGGTGGCGATGCGCCGAGATTGTATTAGATGTCTTTTTTTTTGTTTTTTACATAGGGCTCGGGTCTATTTATACCCGAGAATTACAAGATACATCCATAACAGACACGACTATTATCTCTAACAAACTCTAAGATACCATAAGTCTTTACGGCAGACTTCTGCCCAAACATATCTCTAAGGAAATTACACAGAATATCCTAATTAATAGATACAATTGCCTCCCCAGGACTCTATCCATGCGTGGCAATCATCTTGAAGCACATCAACTTGAACCCGATGACGTACACCGAGTCATATTATCGGAATCGGCTGTATCGGCTAGCCCCGTCCGACTCGAACTCTGCCGACCTGACCTTAGCCGATTTGGACTGCAGCCGATTCTTACTCTGTTTCCGCAACGATCTTCATCTTGGATTCCACTTCGATCTGATCTTCACCTCCGATGCCAATATTGATAGAATTTACCAAAGGAGAATGGAAGAATCGAGAAAGCCAGGGGCTGAGGGCAGAGGAAGCGATGGTGGACACTCATCGACGTAGGACTAGACGGTAGCATTGTGGTGTGGCCAACCCCATTCTCGAGCACGATAACTAAGCATGTCGGTCATTGGGGGCTCACCGGCTCGGGGAGAAGTGAATAGGAAGTGAAGGGTCACGATGGTGCTTGAAGAGGAGGAAGATAAATGTGCTATTAGTGAGCGGAGGACCTTGCTAGAGTTTCGCCGAAGTTTGTGCGACTAGATGACACGGACTTTGTTCGCATTTTTTCTTGGTATATATATGAAATTTGGGCTAACCGATCTCCACACAACCCACGTAACCTATCGTGCCATGCCAATACGACATGACCCAACATCTCATTAGGCTCCGTGCTTGGGATGAAAACGGAGCGGATACAGACGGATAATACTCATACCATTTTTATTTCCATATTCTTTGTCAGATACGAAAACGAATACAAATAGCTCATATACGGACGCAAATACGAATTATATCGAATACAAATAAGAATCGAATATGACCGGACACGAATACTGAGACATTTTTTCTGTCGGAACACGAAAACCACCTCATCTTCATATATAATTAGTTCATTTTATATAAAATATAGTATACGTTTCAAAAATATTTAAAAATTTAAATAATATTAATAATATGGACTAGTGTTAAGAGATGGCATGCTATTAAAATCTAGAAGGGTAGATCGAAGGTTGTAGCGTTATAAAGAAATGAAATATGTCTCATGATATCAGTGGATATCCGAATAGAGACCATGTGCGTATTATTATCTGTATCCGTCGAAAACCCTAATACCATGTGCGTATTCGTATCCGGGAGAAAATATCCTATTCATATCCGTATGCAAACTATGCGAGAATTATCCGCTCCGAAAAGTATCCGTATTTTTTCTCTTGAGTGGACGGAAATTATCCGCTCGTTTTCATGGCCGACAAAGTACGGCTCGTTCCGTGAGCCCTGCCGAATTGGGCAGTGCTCAAACGTAACTATTATTTATCTACTATATTAAAAAAGTTAAATAAAAATTCACCATCTCAGAGGGCAGGTCCGGCTCCATTCGAAAAATGGGATTAGGACCGATGGACATACATAATTTCTATTTTTCTGATTTCCAACGATGTGATGTGCAAGCAATCCGTGGTAGGCGAAATTACTAAATTACCCTCGCGAAGCCTCCTCGTCAGTTTGCCTTTGCCGACCGCCTCCGCCTCCGCCTCCGCCTCCGCCGATCCCCATCCATCCCGCGAGCGAGCGAGCGAGCGAGCAGGGCGCCGTCGATCGTCCTGCTGCTTCCGCCGCATCCATCCTGGTGAGCACATCCTCCGCCACCGCCGCCTGCACTGATCCCCATCCATCGCGCGAGCGAAGCGAGCAGGGGTCGCCGTCGCTCGTCCTGCTGCTTCCGCCGCATCCGTTGCGCACGTCCTCTTTCCCATCTCTCTCTCTATACCCACGCGCTTTTTCTCGAATTTGTGTTAACCCTAGCTTCTGTTCTAGAAATTTTGGCTTAACCTTAATACTAATAACAGTTTGATGGTTCCCAAAAAGGTTTGGGGCCATGCCCCATGTTAGATCCAACACATGTCACACCAGTTCTAATAATTAGGGGATCCGTTGATGAATTTTAGGCTATTAACTATATAGCAAACTTGCTGAGTTTTTCTTCTTTCCGAGATATATGCATTGTAGTCCATTAGGTACAGTATTGTTCTACACAGGTTTACATCAAATTTATATGTATTTTCCTGTACCACACATGCCAACTTTCAGGCTTCATACTTGTTTCTGAACCTAGACAATATGGTATCTTAAAAATGTGATAGAAACTGGAAAAATGAAATATTACTAATATAGGTGAATCTGCCTGAGTTGCATCATGTTCAAGTCCTCATAAAATTGCCAATTTGAGAACAGAAAATTGTGCATCTTTATTGAAAGGTGTGCATTTTATTTACCTAAAATGTAAGAATTTCGACCTCTTCTATTAAACTGTGAAATTAACAGTACTATCTGATATTTGTATACCAACCAGTAGCTGGGTAACATTCACTTGACTAATAATAATTATCTAACCTATATTTTCATGCACTCCAACTGATCTGGATCCATTTTAAGAATATGTCTTGAATTTTCAATGTACGCGATTACCTCATCGTGTACTCACCTATTTGTAAAATGTCAAGCCCCCCCCCCTTCTTTTTTTACTCTCTTCCCAAGTTCATGTGTGTACTGGTTGTTGGAAAGATGGATTAAGAATTAGCACTTGTTTTTGATATAATTTTATTTATTGTAATAATTTTTTTTTTGAGAAAAGAAGAACATTCCTTCTAACCTTCTTGAAACCTGAATCAGGGACATTCAATGTATGCTGTGCACCCTGTTCTTGTACGGACTGTAACCGTTCTTCAGTCCTGATGGAGTCAGAAGCAGGCAGTGCACCTAATGGTTGTACATCTACAGTAAAGGGGTCAGAAGAGAGGCACAGTTTGGAACGTCGTCATGATGATGGCTCATGTATCTCAGAGATTAAACTTATTTCTAATATGGTTGTAAAGAAAAAGAGGGGGAGAAGAGCACCTCCATCTTCTAGAAGATTAAGTGGTAATAAGGTTATTAGTGGTGAAGATGCTGTTCAAAATCGCAACCATGCTAAAGAAGAAGACCAGGCTGGTAAAACTCAGTCTAATTTATTTACACATTAATAAGAAAAGCATTATTGCCTTATTGGTAGAACTGGTGGATTTAACTTACCAAAAACTTGTCTCTCAGGTAATTCTTCTGATGTGGCGTTGTCGCCATCTAGCAGGAAGACAGAAGGTCAAGATCAGTCGACAAACCCCAAAGATTTGTTTGAGAAAGCTTGCCATCAAGCTACAGAGATGGTTACTGAAAGCACAACTGGTTGCAAGAAATCCTTTTGGGAAGAAAAGGGAAGTGATAATAGGAGAGGCAGGCAAGCTACACTTTGTGTGAAACAGGATGGGCTTGATATTGAAACAACAGGCAAGGATGTCTCTGCAAGTGAAGCTTATGAAAAATCCAGCACACTGGAAGATACTTCTGTTGGGCATGCAGCAGCAAAGAGTGTTAATCCTGAGGATAATTCTCTAGATCCTATGGATAATGTAAGTTTCAGTTTTCCTTTTTTATCTGCAACTACTAGTACATATTTTATCCATCAACAGATGTCCAGTATTTTCTTTCTTTTTTGTGGTTAAGTCATGCTTCTGTCATAATCTAGCAATTGATGTTTGGCAATTTGGCATGTTGATCCAAACATAATGTGTGTATACAGTTTGATTTATATTCCTTTGAATTTGTGTTCAAAATTAAATTCCTTGGACATGGTTTCAATATCCATTAGGTGTCTGATACACATGTGAATGCCACATCTTCTGAGGACAAGAGTTCTGAAGAAGTTGAGGACGTGAGTTCAAAACCTTTAATTTTGTGCATTAAAATTATGACAAATCTTTTTGTGTAGCTAAATATTTTGTTTCACTTGACAACAATAGGTGAAAGTGTGTGACATTTGTGGAGATGTTGGTGAGGAGGAGAGGCTTGCTGTTTGCACTAGATGCAATGATGGTGCTGAGCATATGTAAGGCTTATTTGTTCCGTTGCTTTTTATGTATAATTACTCATCTTTGATTGCTTGATGACATGCCATGATGGTTAAGATTGTTGCACTTGTAGTTTGCAAACAAGCCACAATTAGGATGCCTGCCCTGTGTCTCAGGACAGGAATAAACTACTACTGTTATTATGCAGACAAGCCAGTTAGGAGTATTATTTTCAGAATATTTTTCCACATTGAGAATATGGGTATTGTTAATCTACTTAAATTTTGTCTCATTTCTTTGCTCCAGTTATTGTATGCGGGTAATGATGGAAGAGGTTCCAGAGGGTGAATGGTTGTGTGAAGAGTGCGAAAATGAGTTGGAATATGAAAAGAAGAAGAAACTAGAAAAATCTCAGCTGAAGGTTGGTGCCTCAAAAAGCCAGTTCTTTGAAAGGAAAACCAATAAAATTGCCAATGCATCAAAAAGCAATTCTTATGAAGATGAAACCTCAAAAGCCCTTGAAGGGAAAATTAGTAAACCTGACACTGCTTTGAAGAACAGAAGTTCTTTTGAAAATGAAGTGGAGAATGAAAATGGAGATAAGAAAGAGTTGAATTCAACAAACCAATGCAATAATAGCAATTCGAAGAGGAAGGAAGAAGGTGCAGGGATCATTTCCTCGATTAAACAAAGTATTACTGAACGCTGTGGTTTCTCCATGGGAGCTGAGTCCAGAAAAAGGTTGCCATTGTCATGTGAGAGCTCATTTCGGTTGGATGTAGAGAAGGGAAAGCAAGCCGCTACCAAAGTACCAACTTCATTGGCATTTGACGCTGCCAAGAATCTGGGACCACCACTTCGTGGTAAATTTTTTTCCATTATTACTTTCAATTCAGACACTTTACCTATGTAAAATGTTCAAATTATGTTACCATGGTTTGGTTGCCTTCCCTGCAGACTTAGGTAAAGAAAATTTACATAGAAAGGTTTGTTGCAGGTCAATTTTCCAAATCCACTTCTTTCAACAACTCAAAGGTCCCCAAGGTGAAACAGCTAGTGAATGAAGTTCCACAGAAGCCCAACAATATGAAGGACCATATACCCTTTCTTGCGAAAAAAGAGGGGCCAGTGGGCATACTTGCTAAGTCGCCATTTTTTAAGAAGCCTAAATCTTGTGAATCAGCAAATAAAGCAAAGTCTTCGATTTTACCTCCTACTGAGGAGTCAAAAGTCGTGAATCCACCGGTGAGCCATAATGTAACAAGTGACCGAGACACTTCTATATTAGGGTGCCCCTCCGTTACTGCCTCGATGACTACCCAAGTTTCATCTAAAGAAGAATCCAAAGCTCAGCATCTCACTACAGGTAATTTAAGCACTACTCATGGACAAGGTGGAAGAAACTCTCTTGGTATATTTCCCTTTTCATTCATGTCTCTATTGCTTGGAGTAAGTTTGCGTTTGACATGCTGTTGGCTAACTTGGTGTAGGCTAACTTCATTTTGTTTTTTCAGGATACTCTGAGGTAAATAAGCAACTTGTAGCAAAAGCTCCTGGAAGTACAACTGTAAGTAGTGCTGAGAAATCCTCTGGTATTCTTGGTTCTGGGGCCCAGAGAAAGGTAATCCAGAACACAGATCCCGCACACCGGGATGATAAAGTAAAGGATCCAACAAGCTTGAGACCAGGTGGTTCTAGTATCAATTGCTCGATGCGTTGTCAGCGTTGTAATGAAGCAGGCCATTCTACACAATTCTGTTCTGTTGACAAACTTAGCTTATCTGCAGTAAAACCTATGAGTGAACGGAACATGAAGGATTCCTCTGCTAAAAGGAATAAAACATTTGAAGCTACTAATGTGATAGCAGCTGAAAAAGCTGCTTCCAGACCAGCAGATCAATCTGAGCACATTGTGAAATGTGGTCCTTCTCACAACCCAATGTGTAGGCCTAAAGATCTTTTATCCACCTCATTTGGCCATGTAAAGAAGCCCTCACAATTGTACGGGCAAACCAATGAGCAGGATATGAGAAACACTTCGAGCAACAAAGCTTCCACAGATGGTAGCAAGTTGAAACCCAATGAGTGCCAGACTGTATCAGTCAAGACAGGAAGATTAGTTGATGGCAGCTTAACTATGCCAGATGCTCTGATGGACAAATCTTCAACTGTTCCAGAGTTGGATTTCATATGGCAGTAAGAATTTCCTCCTTTTATATCTCATAAGCATTTCTCGCTTTTTGCAAAAAGTTTGCTGTTGATTCAGCTGCCATCAGCCAAGCATTGTGAATCATTTTGTTAGGTAACACAATGTGAACTTTATTTTAACAGAGGTGGTTTTGAGCTGTGGAGGACTGGAAGATCTCCTGAGCTATGTGATGGTTTTCAAGCTCACTTATCATGTTCTGCTTCACCAAAAGTGCTGGAAGTTGCAAAGAAATTCCCTTCAAAAGTCCAGCTGGAGGAACTTCCTCGTCAGAACTCATGGCCAACACAGTTTCAGGAAAATGGTCCTTCATACGAGAATATTGGTCTTTTCTTCTTTGCTAGAGATACTGATAGGTGTGTTCCGTGCAGCTTTGATCCTGCATATATTTGCTTGAGTTGTTCACATCTCATCTTACTGCAATCCAAAGTTCTAGCTAAATTTGTTTGATTTCTTTATTTCTGCAGCTATGAAAATTATTACAGTAAATTAGTTGAAAATATGCTCAAGAATGACTTAGCTCTCAGAGGAAACATAGAAACAGCTGAGTTGCTCATATTCCCTTCCAATATCCTGTCAAAGAATTTCCAAAGTAAGCATTCTTCCATTAATTTGAGTGAGATTTTATCTAGTCATAGTTTTTACTGTGACTGACCTTTATGTTGCCTTGTACTGGTTCAGGATGGAACATGTTCTATTTTCTTTGGGGTGTATTCAGAGTTAGAAAAAAAGATCAAATGAACATTCCACCTGATGTACCATTTAGTACTTGTGAGCCCAATCTGAATACGGATCGGATGGACGTGGATGAAAGCATCTCTGTTTTGACATCTGGCCCTTCATTCTCCGAAGGCCAGAACAATGGTGCTAAATCAGACCACGATTTGGTGAAGTCAGTTTCTTGTGTGGACTACCAATGTCCCCAGAGTACAGAAACCAATTATCAAAGGTGTTCAAATGGAGAGACCGAATCAAATCAGCCTGTGAGTCAAAATGAATTAGAAGATCACCATCAGGTTCCAATTACAGCCAGCAGTTCAACAAATAACAGTACTGATCTGGCAACAGAACAACAGGTGATGGCTTGTGGCTATCTGCTTTGCGACTCATTATTTTATGCTACAGCTCAAATTTACGTTTAATTTTGATTTTTTGGATTGTTCCATAAAATAGCTAGATACTTGGTGCATATGATTGTCATCCTGCAAGGCTGCCACTGTTATCAGGCATGGTGGGAGCCTGTTGCTTGCACACGCCTTTTCAGCTTCTTGCTTATCAATTTATTCTTGAGTTTGCAAAATTTTTTCAGATGTTTGCTCAAAAAATATATTTAATGTTTACTATATCAATTTATTCTTGAATTTTCAAATATTTTCAGATGTTTGCTCAAAATATATATTTACTGTATACTATCTATCTATTCCTGTGCAGAAATTGTCTTGCTCAGGAGATGAAGATACAAAGGATTCTTCCAATAGTATTGCTTGTGAAGCAATTATTGATGTTAATACAGTGCCAGTTACTTGCTCTGTTTCCTCAGTATATGAGATAGGTAAGTAATTCTTTCCTGTTGTGAACACGTCGTGAATGTGGGTTCATACTTTTCACCTCCAACATATTGTTTTGTTAATAAACCAGGAAAGGGCATCAGAGTAATCAACCTCAATGAAGCTGACAACCTTGTGGATGTAGATATAAATAGTAGTGAGGTGAACTCTGGTACAGTAGATCTTATCTCGCACACCACAGCTACTCTACACAAAAGAAATGTTGAGGTAGCAAACTGGGCTGATGAAGTCAATGGAAAACTAGAGCAGAAAAAGATTAAATTGGATAATGTTGGGTCTGCAAATTCTAGTTTAAGTGAGAATACAAGTGATGGAAGGCTATCATCCAAGGTGCATCCCCTCGTATCTTCCTCCTTCGATGATTCAGTTGACCAGTCATTGGCAGGAAGCTCAAAGTGTAATGGAAAGCGCATATTTCCGCTTGATCTAAATACAGTGGATGCAGGAAACGTTGTAAATATATCGGATGACGAGGAGATGCCTGAGCGTGATGCGCCAGATTTTGAGCTAGAACTTACGGACAACAATTCTCCCAGAAAGACCATGTTTTCATTTCTTTCCCCTAAGGTTGAAGAAAATCGGAGTAAGGAACATTCATTGCCTACCGATTCACCAGGTTCCCTCTCCCTCTCTCTTGCCTTTCCGGCATCTAGGGAACATGCTGGTAAGTTGCAATCAGAGATACCGAAGCAGTTGCCTGAGATGAGCAGCCAGAATAAGATATCTTCGATTTGGGACCGACAATGATGGCTGCCCGCTCTTGCGTTCCTGATGTTTTGCGGGACAGATCGATGTTTGCGTCCTCTGGAGAAACTATCTTGAATACTATGTATCTGCAATGATGCCACTCAGGTGTGCTGACAAGTAGTTACATCCAGGGGGCAGAACTATTGAACTGCAAAGAACAGAGTTCTGGACGTAAGTGTTATTTTGCAGGAAACAGTGATATGCTTTTCAAGACATAGGGTTATGACATGAAAGTTCATACTCTGCACTGTAAATTTCTGCACAACTCATGTAAAGTTTTGGCCTTAAGCTGGAAGTCATCTCAAATTTGAGAGATGTCTGCCGTGGGGGGAAAGATGGTGGTTATTATCTGAGATTAGTATATAAATGTTTCTCTTTTCTTGAAATGTTCTCGTGTTACCGTTTAGTTTGTCATATCTGATAAAATGATTTTCCGACACTATCATTTTTTTTTCCTAAAATGACATCCCTGAGCTGATCCAAGCTGCTGGTTTAAATATAATCATGCTGTATTCGTATTCTACGCATATACTCTTTGTAATTGTGTAATTAATTAGAGCAATGAATGTACTAGTTAATCCACACGAAAACATGTCTCAAACATGTCCTAAATTACCCTACAGGTCCCTTCACTTTGCTTTTTTGGAGGTACAAGTAAGAACACAAATCAATGCAACTCCACACTTGCACCATCGCATGCACACACACGTGCGTGTCTTACACACATAGGAGTACTTTTTGGTACAGATTATATGCCACGGACCTCGAAACACGGAAAACGTGCGTTCAGCGCACACTTTTGGGTAGAGATTAGATGCCACGGACCTCAAAGCACGGAAAGTGGGCGACTCCCGCTAAGAGCCGGTACAATAGCAGGCTATAAACCAGCTACAAATATATTTTAAGAAGATAAATAAAAAGAGAGAAGAGCAGTGGGCTACAGATTTGTAGCCAGCTGTAGCACGGACTCCAAAACGCAGTGTGTGCATGACAGGTGAGACCATACATTAATAGTGTAGTATGTAACTATTGTATAGATGAGCTATTAGATTAACTATAGATAAATTGGAGCTAGTAGTTGGCCATACTATTAAACTTGCTCTAAACGCGCACACGTGTGTATCCCATTCTATGGGAATTAATCTCACGATTGATCCCCAAGGAGCGAGGAAAAAATCCTCCTAGGCCACACTCGGAATATTGGATTTCGTAACCAATCAAGCGTGAGGGGCATATCATGACGGTATGTTGTCACCAAAATTCCTTGTGACGGCATTTAGACTTTTTGTGATAGTAAGGGGTAGTCACTAATAGTCCATTTTCTAGTAGTGTACCTTTGTCCTAGAGTTTTTTTTTAAGATAATGGAAGCTTTATTAGTATTAGTCAATTACTAACACTCTTTTTTATAGCTAAGATGCACATAACCAAAATACACTTAAAAAAAGTGATCACAGGAAAAGTATTAAGGACTATCAATTATGAGACTAGATATCTAGATCACCGCCTATGTTCCCGGCTAAAACACATCCTTGACCACCTTGTCCAATCGTGGACAAGCCACACTCACCAGGTCCAGCAAACCAAGCTTTTGAAGAATAACTCATGTACAAAACTAGTAAGAAAATAACATGTAGAGGAGATAAAATAGCTTTAACAATGCTATTTGCACATCATAATTGCAAAACTAATCTGTACCCAAAAATACCGTGGCAATTCTCTCCTCTTGGGCTGAAGTAGAATTTTTATTTTGGATGCGAAACTAAGAAAATATGTTGAACGAGTATCGCACAAGATTGAAGAAAGTTGCCGAAAATCTGTTGAAAATACAATGCAATGTACACATACGTTTTGCTAAAACACACGTTAGTATTTTGTAATAACTGAAATATGGATTAGATACATTGCTAAAACACAATGTATATATTATATGTTGCTTACCATACTACAAACCCTACTACAAATACACTAAAAGCAGGGGCGGAGCTACTATATATTACCGGGGTCTAATGATCTGGATGAAAGTTTCTAACACCATGTTAATTACTGTTCATCACCCTTAAGCAGAGGAGAGCAACCATATAGTGTAATTTGAGTGACCCCAGTAATATTTTCCTATAGCTCCGCCCCTTGCTAAAAGACATACTTCCTCCATCCCATTTTAAGTGCATTTGTGGATTTCCGTATCCAATGTTTGACCGTCCATTTTATTTGAAAAATTTATAAAAAAATAAGCCACACATAAAGTATTATTCATGTTTTATCATCTAATAACAAATAAAATACTAATCATAAAAAAATTTCAAATAAAATAGACGGTCAAACATTGGACACGAAAATTTACATCTGCACCTAGAGTACCATATTAATGTTAGTTGATGCCTTGATGGTAATCATGGTATCTTGTGATGGTACCTGTCCAACAACTTATATTAGTTTGATAATATGATCATATGATTTCTGCACGTGGAGGGTCCTAAAGAATGTAACAATTCGATCGCATGGTTGCAACTTCAAAACATTCATATATACAGACGGGCAAGTTTTGAAGAAGAGTTTTCAAACAGCAGTGAACCAAATCAATTTGCCCTGGCTCAATTTACAAATATACATACATTCATATATAAACACGCTAACACGCAGACATAATTCCTAACCAACTGCCAACCACCATTAGCCAACTAACTAATCATCGTCTACGTAGGCTGTCTCCATCACCATGGAAGTCGTCGTCGCTCGCCGGGGCGTCGTCGTCCTGCGGCTGCGCCACGGCGAGCCGCCGCCCAGCGCCGCCGCGCGGTCTGGCGGGCGCTGCTCGAGGCTGCTCCTCCTGTGGACGTTCGCCGTCGGCTTCGCCGCCGGGCTGTTCATGTTCGCCAGCCACGTCTTGGCCGCCGTCGCCGCCGCCGTGCTCTTCGCCGCCATGTGCCTGTACACGTGCCTGTGCCTGAACAACGCGGCGCCGGAGGAGGAAGAGGAGCAGCAGCAGCAGCCGCCTGTTCTGCTGCTTCCCGGTCAGGCGCTGCGCGTCGCCGTGATGCCGCCATCGGTGGGGCGGCTGCAGCAGCAGGAGGTCAACGGCGGCGGCGGCGGCGGAGGCCTCAGGCAGGAGGACGTCGAGGCCGCCATCCCGGCGTTCGAGTACAGTAAGGGTTCGGGCGGCGCGGCGGAGGCGGAGCAGTGCGCCGTGTGCATCGGAGTCGTGCGGCGGGGGGAGACGGTGCGGCGGCTGCCGGCGTGCGGGCACGCGTTCCACGCGGCGTGCATCGACGGGTGGCTCCGCGCGCACGCCACGTGCCCCGTGTGCCGCGCCGACGTCAAGGTCGCCGCCGGCGGCGGCGGCGGAGCGCCGGTGTAGTCGTCGTCGCACACGATGTCACGAACGATGTACAAGCTGTTCCGTGACGGCAAGTTGATTAATTTCTTCGTAGTTTTTCCCCATTTTTGTATACTTAATTAGTGGTTGATATTTTTGCATCGTGCCACGATGTACTTCTGATTTGGAACAGAAGTTAAATGTAACTTTTTTGGACATAAATTAACCAGCATAGCAAATTTCCAACAAAATTATAGTTGTTCAATAGCTCGGATCGGAATTAATAAATTGAGATAATCCTGAAAATGACGTTGGAGCCATTTAATTAATTACGCTTGAAAACGAAGTAATAAGAAGGCTCGCTCGTGTGTGGTCGTTGTTGCTGACCAAAGTTGTTTAATGCATGCGGCATCTTGTTTAAGACTGAGAGGAGGATTATCTACTCTCTAGCTTCAGTACGAAAAGAAGAGAAATGTCCCGTGATAGGAACTCTATCTTGTGGCGGAGTACAGCACGTCAATCATAGTTTGGTTAGCCAAGTTGTAATTAAGCCGAACCTTCTTCGTATTTGCTGCTCATATATAAAGATATCCAAGTTGTCATGTTGTCCGCTACAAATTGCATCCAGCGCACGGCCTATCAATGATCTTTAGTGTGCAGACTATGCACTAATGCCAATAAAAGCCAGTAACTCTTTTAATTCTAACTAGGAAGATAGCCCGCGCATTCGCGTGGGCATGTATGATTATATTTGTTTGAAGAATTTATAAGGCCGGAATATCAATCGAATGACAACTGCCACACTTTAAAAGTAATATATCTTTTCACAAATTTTCTTCATCGGCATTGCTTGGATATATATTTTTTTCTATCTAACTATTAGCTTTAAGCTACAACATTTAATTCAAAGAAAATTTGGCACTTTATCCAATCATATTGTTTGTATTGATTAAATCTACCTCTTAAAAGGTCTAGTACTTAAGTAGCAAGAACCACACGAAAAAAAAAGCTCGAGCAGTAATCCTTCGTACATGCATGTGTTAATACATGAGTGATATTTCTCTTCTATTAGTTATGAATATTTGTGGGATAATATATGATGAAATAATCTATGTTGTTAAATTTATTTTTTTTACTAATTGTAAGACTATTTGGATGAGAATGACATAGAAGAATGTAAATTTTGGTTTCATGTGGTATCTGTTTAATCAAAATATAGTTAATGTATCTATAAATTGTAAAGAAAATATGAGTGTTGAAGATTCAAAAAAATCAGACAATTTGGATGAGAAAGATAGAGCTAAATATATTTTCATGTAATATTTTTAAATTAATATATAGTTAATATTATATGTAATCCTATATAATTTACATATATTTAGCAGGAGGCTGGCGGATATTTTCTTGTACGTAGAAACATAATAACGTTTTTATTCAAGATGTGGTCATAGCACGGTGGCAGTGGTTATTGGCATTCATGATGCACCCATCAACCCGGTTTCGAGTCTCTTCAAGTATGCTTAGCAGAAACCATTGACACCAATTTCTTGCTTGGTGTCTATTTCTTTTTATTTGAGAATTAGGAAGCACTACTATAAAAAAGCACATAAAGGTTGGTATATTGGTGCCGAAATAGATAAACCCACTCATGCGATCGAATATATAATCGGCACCTTTGAACAATTATATGTGTCGGTTTTAGAGAAAAACAAACACCAATATTATACGTACCTATTATTTATTATAGGTGCCGATTAATTAAAAAACCAACAACTATAATATAACTATAATATATTATAGGCACTTTCTTTTTAAAAAAGGCATTCTACAAACTGAGCCAAGCCGCACGGGGAGGGAGAGAGTCACATCTTTCTGGAGATCTTATCTATTTGCTCTCTCTTTTTCCCTCGCTCATCCTTATCTCCTTCTCCTTCTGTTTTTTTATGGGAGTAGCTATATTTATGGCGTCATATTTTACACTAAAAAATAGTCGGCATGTATTTACATTGTAAGTCCCTAAATTAAATATGTAATTTTAGTGTATTGACAATGTAAATACCAAAATTACATATGTAAGTCCTAAAATTACATATGTAAATCCCAAAATTACATCCTAATACATATGTAAGTGGTGTGTAACTGCTGTGTAAATTTGTAAATATATAAATAACTACCTGCAGCAGACACATACATATAAGTGTGAACGCAGCAAAGCAGTGGCTAGCGATGGTATGAGCACAATGGATTTAACTTGACAAGAATCTCACAGTGTATCCAATGGCCACAAAACTGACTGCTATGGAGCCAGAAATCTGGTGATAGAAATATAGTAAAACCGTTTTTTTATTTGGTGGAAGGTTAGGTGGGATGCAATCTTTTAATAGATTTAATCTAATGGCTTAGAATAATGGGTCCACCGCTTTAATTGAAAATATTTTTTTTAGAATTTCTAATGTTTTTTCTAATTTATTAGAGTGCTATGTGGCAGCGTAGGAACGTTTATAGGAGTGCCATGTGATGGTGACTATAATCTAATAATTAAAAAATGGGCGCATCATTTTAAATGAAAATTATCAGCCCTTTTTTGTTATTTTTTCAAGAAGGCAGTCTACAAACCGAGCCAAGCCGCCGCACGGGGGAGGGAGAGAGTCGCATCGTTCTGGAGGTCTTATTTATTTGCTCTCTTTTTCCCTCGCTCTTCCTTATTTCCTTCTCCTTCTGTTTTTTATGGGATAGCTATATTTATAGCGTCATATTTTACTCTAAAAAAATAGTCGGTATGTATTTATATTGTAAGTCCCTAAATTACATATGTAATTTTAATGTATTGACAATATAAATACCAGAATTACGTAGGTAAGTCCTAACATTACGTATATAAATCCCAACATTACATCCTAATACATATGTAAGTGGTGCGTAACTACTGTGTAAATTTGCAAATATATAAATAACTACCCGTAGCAGACACAGACATATAAGTGTGAACGCAGCAAAGCAGCGGCCAGCGATCTAAAATGCCACGTGTCGATCTAGGAGCAGCATTTGTAGGAGCGCCACATGGCGGCGTAGGAGCGTTTATAGGAAGATTAATGTACTTTTAGTATATAATAGATAAGACGTATTTTAATTTTATAATATCTTCAGAATTAAGTAAACTTTATAATTAACTAGGAAGGTTGCCCGCGCATACGCGCGGGCATGTATCATGGTAATGGTTACGTTTTGATGAATTTATATGGGTGGAATATCAAACGGATGGCACATACCATGCTTCATAAGTTTGTTTTCCTCACAAATTTCTTTATCGTACCGGTATTGTTCAAATAAATTTTCTAAGCTATTTGTTAGCTTTATATACTATATAATAGTACTTAATTCATCTATATAACTAATTATTTACAGCCTTCCTAGTTATTAAAAATAAGGTAGACTTAATTAGTTTGTTTGTTTACCATGCATTTCTAATAAATTAAGTTTGGATCAAAAGTAAGGTGTTTTTTCTTTTTTAATTGAATGTTTAGAGCCTTGTTTTACAAATCTTAAAAAACAATTATTGCTAATAAATATGTTTATTTGTACTATCAAGCTAGCCCTCTCTCTAATTTGTTCATATTGACGTAATTTGTTACACGTACTTTATATGATCAATAAATGCGAAGGAGATATACATAATCTATACCTCGCTTCCCTATGATACGTGTCACCTATAGAGCTTTTTAAATATGCCTAGTCAATATGAGTCTTAAAATTTAAATCTAATACTAACAAATATAACTTATAAGCAATTATATATTGCTATTTTAGTGTTAGTTAAATATATAATAATACATGAAGTAACTCATAATACCATAGCATCATAGATAGCGAGAAGGCCAATTTAATTGATATGTCAACGACTGTTTCAGTTTAAGTGAAAATTTAAAACCATTTCTTTACGAATTTGTTAGATGTTCTATAATTGGTTCAATTTAGCCCATATTGATATTTTTTTCTATTTTATACCAGTTATTATAAATCTTAATTTGTTGATTTAATTATGTATAGATCAACAATTAGAATAGCTATGAGACATGTAGCTTAATATAACTATGATATGAGACATGTAGCTTAATATAACTATGATATGAGACATGTAGCTTAATATAACTATGGATGTTTCGATATTATTGCTTGTTTCTCTTTTATCATTGCTACTCCAAAAGATATAGAGAGAAGTGGAGAGCGGAGAACCCAAGCCAAAAGTGGAGGGGGCGGAAAGTGTTAGTGCGTATGTGATGGTGAGGGTGAGGTGGAGGGGACTTTGTTTTTCTAATTTTTCTAAACATTTAAGTTAAAACCGATTATCATGTATTTTGTTTTTTTAAAAAATCTTTTTTAAATTTTAAAGACATCACGGTGATTTAAAACGGATCAGATCTTAGACACACCGATTTAAGCTGGACAATTTATCTAAAGAGTGCCAAATGCATTGGTTCGAATTAGCTATGTAATGTTTGCCGCAAACCATGCAAACTGATTGAATTAGCTATGTTATATTGCTGTTAATCTCCTTTCACAAATCATATATAACTAATTTAATTAGCTATATATGTATAATCTTAGTGTTAATCTCCTAGCTTCCATTTATATATATTGCCGTGTATATAATAAATATAGCTATGAGTTAGTAGTAACACAATATGGGAGCTAATCAGCTTGTGCTACGTATATACAGAGATAAGTTAATTAGCGATAAACTTGCCGACATGGCCAAACCGGCTCGTAACCCGACGTGCGGTATAGCATGATGGACCGATGGACCGTCCGAGTCCACCTTAGAAAAACATGGGTCTTTTCCCTGTCTTATTTTTTTTATTAAGATGAATCTAATGGTAGACAATGCATGATGGGTCCACCTTATTTAGAGGAAAATCGATGGTTAGATTTTATTTTTATTAGAATTTTTATGATTTTCTTTGATTTATTAGAGCGCCATGTGACATCTTAGGAGCGTTTGTAGGAGTGACATACGATGATTAAAGTGTTTGTAGAAAATTTAATGGACTTTTAGCATATAATAGATAGATAAATAGATAGTTTTAAAAAAACATAGCCCTCGATTTTTATTTAAATCGATGGGTTTAGTGTTTTAAACCATTACATTAGATTGAATAAAGAATTTAGTCGTCCTTTCTCTCTCCTACGTACGTCTGTTGACCATCGATTTTTATGGATACATGTATTTTGACTGTCTTTTTTCATCTAAGTTTGTATGATTCTTTT